GTCAAGAACAAAGCGGGAAAAGTCTGTCAAGCTATCAGCCCTGTACAAGAAACCCTCAGTGCCCCTCAGAGATGCCCCTTTGGGGGCACATTTTACCACCTGTTAAAAGCCAGTGTTTTCCAGCCCCAAAACTTGCCATCTCCTCCTCTTCTCCATCACACTTGGAACACAGACATGCTGCCAGAGCTGAAGAGATATTTTTAAACATCTAAAAACAACTAAGCACAATCCTGCCAGGAAAACCGCTACCCATCCCCACTCACCCCACCTCAAAGCCCATCAAACTGCACAGCAGGAAACATGGAATGTGGGAAACACCCAAAGGAGAGCAAGGTAGCAGCTCCTCATCCTGAAGAGCAGCTCCTTAGTGCAGCTTTCTGCGAGGCCCAGGACAGGCTCTGACTCTGCAATTTAATTCTTACATAATTTAATCCATTGTTAATCAACACCAACTTCCAACACCCATTCATGTATTGAGAAAAAAAGGCATGGAAGCGCTAAAAACAAAGACCCTGTCTGCCCACTCCCTGGTTCAGCACAAGCCAACCACCTCTCCTCCCCATTTCCCAAGCCAAGCTGCCCCAGGTTCTGCCACAGGTCGCCCTGCTGCCTCCACCTTCAGCCAGGGAAAACCTCCTCTCCGGAAGCCCCCAAGTTTTTAGGTTCTGCTGCCTCCATGGCCAAAGGTCCCTCCCAGGAGAAGGATGGAAGATGCAAAGCCAGGCACAAATCTCTCCTTCCTCATCTCCCATCCTGAAGATCTCCTTTTCCATATCTAGGCAGTGAGCCCCAAATGAGCACATGGAAGCCCCTCTGGGGGGAGCACTGGGGACCACAGAGGAGGGGAGAGGTGACAGCCACCAAAGAGGAAATGTGCACCAACCTCCTGAAGCCAGGTGAGCAGTTCTATCCCAAAATGCTACTGGGCCAAGAGAAAAAGCCATTAAATTAACCAACCTCCAAGTTCCTGCCTAGAGGGTAAAATGCCTCCCAAAAGCTGCCCCTGGAGAGCATTTGGGATTTTTAACGAAGTGCCAGTTGTTACTGCTGCAGGCCACAGCTCCCAACAACAACTGGTGTTCTGAGGGGGGTTCTGCTTGCTTGGCTGAGACCAACTCCAGAGTGTCCTTGAGAAATTCCTGAAAAAAACTTTAATTCTATCAGATGACACTGGATCCCCGTCCTCCCAGAACTGCTGCAAGCATCCAGGATCTCAGCCCAGGACTCTGCCAGTCAAGCTCACTGCTAAGCAGCCTTGGCTGAAGCCAGCAGCCTGGCAAGGTGCCAGCCTGCTTCCGAAAACTTCGGCTCACCCCAGAGCCACCCCCAGCACACTCAGAGCAGAGCAGCCCAGTTCTGAGACAATAGCCTTCCTCAGTTTTCTGATCTGCTTTCAAAAGCTGCAGGAACCCAAAATCAGCTGTCTGGACCTTTCAGTTTAAAAATAGCTCACTAACAGACAAGCTATTTTGTATAACCTGCCTTTTCCTCTCACAACACTTTTGTGCCATAAGCAGATCCTCTCTACCCTTCCTGCCAACACACAGAGAGCTGGGCACGAGCACCTCGAGCCTGGCACCGTAGATAATACAAAGAACAATCCTCCCCCCAAACCTCAGCAAGCATCCCCAGCTTGTCTTTTGCCCACAGGCACCTCTGTTCAGTGGCGCAACCTCCGAGTTGTAGAGAAATCAGCCCCGGCGACGATCCAGACCTTCATCCCGCATTGAGCAGTACAGCTCCAGCACCAGTCAAGTCAAGCGTTTGGTTCATCCATCAGTGCTTCTACTAGATTGAGAAAAGTTGCCGCAAATAAATCACTCTCCTGAGATGGGCTCTGGTGGGTGTACGCTCCATCACTACACCAGTACAAGCTGCATGCTGGGGACACTGTGATCCCCACTGTTTGTCACACCTGGAGCCTCTTAACCCCTGTCCAGTTGTTTGAAAACCAGGGCAACTCAGCCACAGCACCGCAGCAGAGCGTCTGTCCTCCTGCTGAGCCCAGCTGGTAAGTCTCGGGTTGGAAAAGTCCCCAGCCGACCTAACAGCAAAGGTGAACATCAAGACGCGTCGCAGTAGAGCAGGAGAGCGGCAGAGGCAGAAGAGCTCCTGCGAGCAGCACGTCTGCCCAACAGCACCTGAGCGTGGCGGGGAGACGATGCTATTGCTGGGCATTCTGCATATGAGTTTGAGCCCACAAATTCTTAACTCCAGCAGACTTACCCAACCCACCTCATACGCATTGCTTTATGCGGAGGCGTAGTTTAAAAAAGCAGGCATTTTACTTAAGATCATGAATACACACCTGCTAATACCTGATAGGTCCTATGAGAACAGACGAGACCATTATATTTACAATTCAATAACTCCCATTAGTGCATCCTCTTTACCGAGGACCTGCCTGTCTGCTGAGGTGGTCCCAGGGGACTGGCTGCCACACAAAGGCCAGGGCAGGGTTCTGGTGGCGTCTCTGGGAGATCACACCACTGAGCCTGCAGGATCTCCAGTAATCTCTATGTACACAGAAACGTGGTGTCTGAGGACCTTATTTCTTTAATTAGCCCATATTAGCATGAAGAAATGAAATAAAACCAGAAAGTTGCTCAACAGAGCTACAAAAAGCACCGTCTAGAGTAAGGATGGGGCCAGACAAGGCAACAGCTGCCTTTCGTTTGCTTTTGGATCCCAGTTGTGAAGCGTTCGGCTTTCTGGGTGCCAGCGGCTAGTCCCGCCCAGGTCGGGGCTCTCAAATGGGTCTTTGCAATGTACAGACATCGGGGGAGAAAAAAAAAGCAGGTAAAATCTCAGGTAGCTTGGGTGAAAAGAGAGACTGATTTCAAAAGCAACCCATGTTACAATCAATGCTTATTTTTGCTTCCATAATCAACCACGTGCAATCAAGAGAACAGGCTCGGTACCTGCAGATGCACTCAAGCACTGTCACTGGGGGAGTCAGGGGCACCAGGAACACCCCATCTCCCTGCTCAGAGTCAGCCCGGAGGACCCACCCTGGAGCAGCCCCAGGGACAGCTTGGCCACACTGAACCACCTGGGCACGTGGAGAAACTTCTGCTCGGGGGAAGCACGTCCACCGGCCCCACACTGAGCTGAGCTTTGACAGGCTATAGCGCCGACGGTCACGCTGGATTCCCAGACAGCCACGCTCCTGCAGGAGGGAAGCGCTCAAACACACCCGTACCCAGCGTCCCCTCAAGAAAATCTGGTACGTGAGCTACACGCCAGCAGCGTCGCTTTCATGGTTAACGCCCCAGAGCTAGGAAGGCATCATGACATCTCCCATTACATGGGAAACCACTCAACTCACCCCGAAACACAAGCTCCAGGACAGCAGCACCCTGTGCATGGGATCAACAGGGTGTAGAGCTTCAGGAGCATCTCCTCATCTCCCTTGCACCCAAGATGTGGCCCATCCTCACTCTTCACGTGGTTCTTGGCCACACACGAGCAAATCCCATGGACACACCACACACGGCAGCACCTGAAGAACCAGCCCTCCTCTCACCCAGTTCTGCACTGGCACAGCAAAAACCTGAGGGCAGAACCAAGCGTTTCTGGCTGCAGTGGCAAAAAAGAGCAGAACAAAGCTCGTGGCTCAGCCACAAATGTTTCTGTGTTTCTGGAGAAACTGTGCCGTGCTTCAAGTGAGCAGGGAAGAGGCAATCACCTCCTGCAGCATCTGAGCGAAGAAGAGAGAGAGCATCAGCATATCACATCTCGCCAGCAACACGGCGAGCAGCAGGAGGGGCTCAAGCAACCAACCTCCAACTTCTTGTTAATTTGCAGATGCTTTACGAACCTTTACAGAATACGAAGATGCTCAGCAACCAGGGAAGCCGTGTGGATATCTCAGTGCTATTTTTCCTTGCCGGTGTGTCCCCACATCCCTCCAGAAGTGGTGAGGCACTGCGTGCAGGTCAGCAGGAGGATTTGGGTACACACACTGCCCAAGCTGGTAACCCTCTGAGCCATCATAAGCCCACACAGAGGGGGGAAAAAGCACAGAGCAGCATCAAGCGCTCACCATGCTCTACAAGCTGCTCAAAACAGCCACAAAGAGAGAAGTCACCCAGGCAGGGAGCAATTTCCTTAACTGCACTAACTGTGTTTGCATGCAAAACAAAGGCTCATGCACGCTACACCCAGGACTGGCCTCACCACCTCCCATCACCACCCTGAGCACCCTGGAGGCAGCACGGTCCCCCAGTCAGCCCAGTGCCACCCCTCCCCAGCTCCTTCAGGCTGAAGCACTCTGTCAGCTTCCAAAACGAAGCCGCAGTGTGTTCCCCTTACCAACCCACACGCCAAACAGGGTGTCTGTCAGCCCAGAGGAGCCCGCTTGCCATCACATCCCATCCCTGAGCACAACCAAGACCCCCACTCATTCCCAGCCACTACATGCTAGGAGGCTCCATCAGCACCACGGACACGCATGGGCTTCACTCCACCTTGCAGCCACTTCTTGCTGCATGTGCAGTTGAGGACT